TGTTGTCCAAACTTGGCCTCTTTAAGATGGGTGTATTTAACCTCCCAGAATGTGCTGGCTGGGGAATTCTGGGAGTTGAAGTCCACTCATCTTAAAGTGGCCAAGTTTGGACAACACTGACCTATAGGCTCACCACTACAGGCTCAGCTTGTGGGAATAAGACTAAATTATTGTCTCACAGTAGTTGTTTGAGATTTTAAGAATGTTTGATTTTCTACCATTCAGCCCAGTTCTTAACTACGGGCCACTTCTGTATGAGACAGTGCTTGACCAATTTTTACGCAGGAAAATACTAATACTGAAGTACGTCTGAGTGGCTTAGGAGATGAATGTTAGTTTTCACTAATAAAATAAAGTTATTACCACTTTATAAGAGGCAGGTGCTTTTGAGAGAGGGCTATCTGTCTGTTGCTGATTGGCGGGAAGTTGCAAGCTCCGTCTCTTCTCCTTCATAGAACTGCTTTGATGGCGCTTCATACGATCAATCTGTTCCTCAACACTCATCTTTGCTTTCATCTCATTGGAAAACACAGCACTCTTTGGCCTGTCCTAGGGGAGGACACAGGACCCTGGTGGTTATAAATGGCAATGGAGGCTTTTTTTTCCAACAAAAATCTTGGTTTATTTTTTCTGAGGGCAAATTCAGGATAGAAAACATCCTGAAAACAACATCCTTAAGGAAAACAGTTTTGTTAGAAGATCGAAATTCAGTGGAACAGCAGCCCAGGTTCTGAACCAAAAGATGGCTAGCTAGTAGTAAAACAGTCTATGGAAAGAGGAGTTTGGCAAAGTGCATTTGAACATGATAGCAAATGCAATAAGAGGTTTGCAAAAAGTTGAAGCTGGAACAATAGGAAACTTTTTTGTATGGCATGATTATGATCTTGATACAATAAGATATGATATGATGCAAAGCAGTTTAGCATAGAGTAACATAAGATAACATTGTGGTTAAGATGTTGAACTAGAAATTAAGAGACTATAAATTCTAGTCCACCATTAGGCATGGAAACTGGCTGGGTGACTTTGGGCTAGGCACTCTTTCTCAGCCAAATAGTTTTTAGCTATCTGGATACTGTAAGAGTCTACTGGAGTGGACAGTTATAATACATTTAAATAAATAAATAAATAACCCACCTCACGGGGTGGTTGTTATAATGAAAATAGGAGGAGGGAGCATAATGTATGTTGCCTTGTTGTACAAAATAATGGTGGGATATGAATCTAATAATACAATACAATATTTATGTGTTTATGGCAGGTATGTTTTGTTAAGAGCAAAAGTGCAGTAATTATTTAGCTTAAAATGCAAATATGAGAAGACAAGACAAATCTGTGTCCAAGAGCTTCTCCATTTGTGCCAATGCTACAAAAATAGGGTTGATGTTATACTTCTGGGTATCAGGGTGGCAATTTCTCATTGGCTGGAACCTCCACCTCATCCCACCTGAGTTCCTTGGTTCTCCCACCTCCCAGAAGTCCCTTGATGCCATTTCACTGTGCATTTTGAAGCTGGGTGGTTTCTCCACTGAGCTGAAGTCATGGCGTCATATCATTTCACCCTGCTTTTCAAATGGGGTGTTTGTTTCGCTATGACAATAAATGCAGTGAGGCAATTATAAGAACACAGGGCAGGGTGCTGGCTAGTTGCATTCTCCTCTTGGTCACCTGGAGGGAGTGCTAATTGGGTCATGGATTGTGATGAAGATTGCGGGGATATTAGTGGTGAAGACACATGTAGGACAGGGCAAAAATACTTCCGAGTGCTTGGGGTAAAACTGTTGGTATAGGAAACCTTCCTGAGATCAGGCATCATGCAGCAATTTTCCAAAACATTGCAAGAGAAAGCTGAATACAATTGTGTATCAGTTAAAAAAAAAGCCAATTTAGACTGGTGTCTAAGGATGAAACTAGAGCCCTTCTGGTCACAAATTGAACTCACTCTTTCTGGCAGTCCTGATGAAAAGTGAGAGGACAGTCTTTAACTGTTCTCATCACACTCCTGCCAGTTCACTGAACTGTTGGTAGAGTAGGAAGAATGTAATATTTCCCTGTCAAGGCAGAGAAAGTTTAGTCTCAGTCATGGCTACTAATGCCTTACTCCTCAGTGCTGCAGTACAACTTTGCAGAATGATCTTATCATCTGTAATTGATGAGGGCACTGACATCAGTTAGGATGCTGGTAGTTCTGCTGATCCCTCTAGCTTGCTTCTCAGTAGTTACTAAGCAAAGAGTAACTTTTCATTTGCATAGGAAATAGGCTTTTTAATTTTCAGTATAATTTTGCTGCTACATTATTTAAAAGGGATTTAAGCCCTTCAATGTGAGTGCTGTCTAACTGTTGGACTGATTTTTTAATTTCATTTGATATTTCTTTGATTGATCACTTGATTGCATTGCTTTCTGATTTGCTGTATAATTATATTGTTGGCTTTTATTTATTGTATTATTAGGTGCTATTTGCTGCAGAGTAATTCATATTATTAGAAATAGATAAACAAAATATTGAAACGATGGCAGAATCCAGCCTTACCCGAGAGTCCCGCCCATTAGATAGGTTGCTTGCACTCCTTCTCACCACACCTGATGTGGGTGTGTTCTCATCATCCATAGGTGACTTAGTCCTTGGAGGAACAATACCCACTGTGGAAATGAAGAAGGTAAATATATATATATTTTAACAAGAAGGGGGAAAGATTCTGGTAATGGCAATACATAAACAGAAAGCATTTAGGCTGGAGAGTATGTATGTATGTATGTATGTATTTTAGAAGACTTCTATAGCTGCTCATATTGTAACCACAACCCTGGGTGGCTCACAAAACAGTAAAAACAGCACCCACCCCCCACAATAATCAGAATAAAAACTTATGATGCCCCAAGGCAACATTCTTCAACACATCCACACATCTTGCTGGGCTCCAGCCTCATCCTACTCCAACACTTGTGTTAGCTAAACCCTGTTAGTTGGTTTGCCTGTTATTTGTTCATTATCTGTAAGATGGAAAGATTTACTTGAACTCTGGCATGTGTTATACTGAGTGTTGTTGTAATTTCTGTTTTACTAATTGGAGTTGCTTTGTTGTTTTTTGGTCTTGGCCTTAATTCATTCTTAGCCACCCAGACTTGCAATAGCAAGATGGGTAGCCATATAAATGGGATAGATAGATAGATAGATAGATAGATAGATAGATAGATAGATAGATAGATAGATAGATAGATAGATAGATCCATCCATCCATCCAT